ACTTTAAAAAATGGCTGCCGCTTACAATTTACAAAGCCAGGTCTAATATAAATTCGCAGTAAGTAACAGAAATATGGATGGATGGTTGGACTTTTCTTCCTGTAAGATTTGTTTGTTTTTATTATTAAAACAAGGGATCATTCATATTTTTTTAATAAAATGAATAAATATCACCGTCATTAAATGTTGATTGGCGGACTTATTTTTCAGCTCAAGACTTTTTGTTTTTAATGAGAAATTCCGACTAAATGGGGCTCTCAATGGGGGAAACAGTTTTAATATTAACGTTAAAATTATGGAAATTTCGTTTTAACTTGTTTTTAAGCATAAAATAAAAAGAAAATTTGTCTGTTTGTTGTGTAAGATGTAATTTTATTTCACCTCGTGAACTTTAAAAACAGTATTCACACTCGTGGCTACGCCACTCGTGAGAATACTGTAAATAAAGCCCACTCCATGACATAAAATTTCATCTTACACACAAACAAACAAATATCCTCTATGTATATGCTGATAACATGCGTACAAGTATTCACTCAAGAAGCAATTTGTCGATCACCATAATAGGTAAATGATATGCTTAAATTACAGTCAAATAAAATATGGGGTTGGACACTTTGTTAAATTCAGCCAAATTATAATAGACTTTACAGAATTGAAAATGTAATAGGGCAATTTAATGTTTGATAGTATCGAGTTATTTCTTGTTAAAATTGATCCAACAAAAAATGTTGGTTTTTTACAAAGGAACTTGAAATTCTATCAAATAACCAAATTGAATAATTATATAATATCCAAATATACCCCCTATATACTATAATCAAACACAAGGAATGAAACGCCTTTTCCCCACCCCAACATAATTTACCTCGAATAAAGCAACAAAAACAATGGATCAAAATATTCTATCGGGCCATTTCGATAAACAATACATAAATACACCAAATACCACCGATTACTGTTTTAAATCGCGTACCTATGTATGGATAATATACCATTTTCTGATTATTTCCCGCGATCTTAGTTTGTCGCCGACTCCATTTAGTGACGTGAATGGAAAACCTGGAATTCCCGCACATTTGTCATCCCGGAGTGAATTTTTCGCTTCTACAACGCAGATTACGTACTTTATCGTTATGTTTTGAGCAACAATAAATCGCGCGTTTTAATTGAACAGAAGGTGGCTGTTGAAATGGCCATTAAACGCCAAAGTTTTATCATGAGAGGATCATGTGGTACAGGAAAAACATTTACTCTCAGGAAAATTATATATTTATGAAGATTTTTTGTTGTATTTTGAGATTAATACGAAAGCACTGGCGTGAGAGAAATTGTTAAGCTGTGATAAATTACCGTTTCCGTTTCACGAATGAAGTATATCCAATTTGCAGATGATATTATTTGTAGCTTCAGTCTGGTATTGTAAAATGTCTGTGTACAATTTTGAAATATTCAGTTGAAATGTTCATGTTTTTTTTTAAAAAAAAACCTCTGCAACTTATATTGGACATTTATTTTATGTACACAGGAGTTCATAATTCTATGGGAAAAAAATAGATACAGTAATAATGAAAAAATACAGTACAGTACAGTATATTATTTTTAATAGAGGGGATTTTTTATTATTTTTTTCTTGGTTTTATCATTATATTGTTGTTTTTTATATAGATTATATTTTTACAGGCTGCTTTCAGTTTATATTTATGAATGCAAAGAAATGAATGTTGGAAAAGTTAACACATTTTATAAATTGTACTAACATAGACATTCAAGGATAGGACTATAATCAATGATTACTTTTGAAGGTCTCACATGTTTCTGTCCAATTGGTGTGTTCATTAATCACATAAAGGTAATATATCTAGCTGTATAACATTATTGTTGAGGATTTGAAGATAATATAAACATCAAAATTAAGAAATGTTGCAGGCTCATTTTAATTATGCCATGCAAATTAATGGTAAAGTATTCATAAAAAAGTAGATGGCCATGTGACAGCAGTAATTGCAGAAAATCGGATAGCTGTCAACATCCGGATACTGGTACACTTTGTAAAAACAACCATTCTGTTCAACAGATAAACGTAATATGGATAAAATCAATAGGATAATCGTTTACAACAGTCCATTACCTATCCTAATACTCATTTGCAGGTGAACTTTCTTCTTGTAGGAAAGTTTTAAAAATATATAAATGAATGAGCATCAATGTAGACCACAACGATATTCGAAATCCGGGTTTTAGTATTGTCAATAAAACAAAGGGACAAGCTGTTAATCTGAGCCTGCAATTTCGTGAAAATAATATCACAATGCACATGCTTTTTATATAAAGTTATTAAATACAAATATAACAACATATTTGTTTACTTGATTTTTACGAATCAAAATAAATCTAATTAACACAACATGAAATTAACTGCTAATAATAACAGCTCCTTCCATAGGCCAAAATAAAAAGCGTTCCATAAAAGACGACGCCGCTCACCGGCGTCGCCAATGATTAGTAAGGATGGATGGATTTCCGTAATCTTTAGCTTTACTATTCAAATAGTAGTAGGGTTTTTCCTTTCAACCGGGTGTCTGTGTTTGGGTAACACTTTGGTTAAAGTTTTGTTTGCAATTTTATATCTCATCAACCATATAAATATATCTCACTAACCACATAAGAAATTTGCTTGTGTGACTTCACACATGCCTTTGAGATTATATTTAGCTAGTTAATATTTAGCTCTTTGCTAGTTCAAAAAAAGAAAAAATAAGAATCCCTAAAGAAAGCACAACACGGCAAAACTGAAAATGTTGCAGGCTCGGTTTGATTGAGCCTGTTCATGGACGGTACTGTCAAGTGCAAACTACCGTCCACGCCCCCCTAGCACCGGTTTAAGCAAAATTCAACATTTAACATGAACTGGTACAATTTTGAAGCATCCACATATGTGTTCATATGGCGGTTATCATGGAACCTTCAATGTGACACGTAAGTGCCATTCCATGAAAAGCAGCATATGGTCCCCAAGTAAAAATATGGATGTGCCCTAAACGAAAAAATAGATAAATACAGAATCCCTAAAGAAACGCCAACACGGCAAAATTGAAAATGTTGCAGGCTTGGTTTGATTGAGCCGTTAATGGACGGTACTGGAAAGTGCAAGTTACCGTCAACGCCCCCTAGCGCCGGCTTAAGCTGAATTCAACATTTAAACATGAAATGGTAACATTTTGAATTTAGAAACATCCACAGATGTGTTCATACGGCGGTTATTATGGAACCTTCAATGTGACACTTCCCACTTGAGAAAGCCCAACACGGCGAAAATTGAAATTGTTGCAGGCTCGGTTGAAAAAACAAATGGCGGAACTGAATAAAATGGAATTTTGAAAGGGGATCAGAGGTTATGAAATAGATAAATATAGAATCCCTAAAGAAAGCCCAACACGGCAAAATTGAAAATGTTGCAGGCTCGGTTTGATTAAGCCTGTTCATGGACGGTACTGGAAAGTGCAAATTACCGTCCACGCCCCCTAGCACCGGCTTAAGCAGAATTCAACATTTAAACGTGAAATAGTAAAATTTTGAATTTAGAAACATCCGCAGATGTGTTCATACGGCGGTAATCATGGAACCTTCAATGTGACACTTCCGTGCCATTCCATGAAAAGCGGCGTATGGTCCCCAAGTAATAAAAAGCGTGTGCCCTAAACGAGAAAACAATGGGCGGAACTAAATAAAATGGAATTTTGAAAGGGGATCAGAGGTTATGAAGCCTGCATATCACAGATAAGACGTCAAAAGACAAATTTAAAAAGCAGGCCACATATCCTATGGGTGATTCAACAGTATTCAAGTGGGGAATACCGGAACCACCCGACAAGAAAATAGCCGAATAGAATAAATAAGATTACCACAAGCACAGCAATAATGTCGTGCTGAACGATCTTTAAGGATCGGAAATATAACATCTCTGATTGAATGTACGGGGCGACTTTTTACAGCCTCCTAACGGCACAAACAACGCTGATGTGGCGATAAAATAGAGAAAATAATAATCCCTTAAAAAAGCACAACACGGCAAAATTGAAAATGTTGCAGGCTCGGTTTGAATGAGCCTGTTCATGGACGGTACTGTCAAGTGCAAACTACCGTCACGCCCCCTAGCACCGGCTTTAGCAGAATTCCACATTTAATATGAACTGGTACAATTTTGAAACATCCACAGATGTGTTCATATGGCGGTTATCATTGAACCTTCAATGTGACACGTAAGTGCCATTCCATGAAAAGCGGCATATGGTCCCCAATTAAAAAAATGGGTGTGCCCTAAACGAGACAGTATTATGCCTGTAGTTGCAGGCCGATACTGGGCCACGGTGGTATTACTGTTTAATCCATTTCTGACTCCCCTTTGTTGGCTAAAGAAATTTTCTATTAAGTCTGAATTCATGTATCCAGGATTTATGGAATTTCCATTTTTTACATGAATATTACACAGAGATAAAAAGCCTACTATTGATGAAGTAAGGTCATCCCGTGTCTCCATAGTCATTAAATTTTTTTTAACTGTATAAGTCTTTGAATTTACAATTTGTGTTTCCCAAACATGAAAAAAATCATTAATCTCATGCAGCTGACTAATTCTGTCATCTGACATATCTGAAATTGGCCGATTTTTATCACAAAAAATATTTATTAGTTCAGATGTTGTCTGCAACAAAGCAACTGTTGATGACAATATGTTTGGTTCTGATAGTGTCTTCTGGTAAGATTTCATTAAATATAGCATATTTTTATCCAGGACATCAATTGCCAAGTGATTACGCATTTTAGAAGCAGGTGTTATATCTATATGTTCATCTGTAAGTTTAAAATGAATGGCAAAAAATATGAAAAACAAGATCAACAAGGAAAGGCGGCGTTCAATGAACGCAACCCCCATATGACCCAGCAACAAGAACCAATGGCAAGGAACCCAGGTGGACCCCAAACATAAAAAGGACAACCAATTTGAAAAATTGATTAAATGCCTCTCTCCAGTGATCCCAAAGTATTGGGGTTTCATTCATGATAAGATATCTACCTGGTTTGGTTTTATTTTCAGCAATGCTTGATTCTATGTTGTTTCTAACTTTTTTTAACACATGCATAATATCTTGAATTGCACATAAATAGTGCTTATGAAAATAAATATTTTGAAACAAAAACTTTGATTCCTTGGCATTTACCATTAGCATATTTAAAAAAGCTCTGTTTGTTGATGCACCATCAAGCATTACATAATCTACAGTAAATCCAAACTCGTCAAGCTTGTCGACACATTCCCAGAACGTAGTATACAACTCGTGGGCCTTGGCCGTACAGGAAGCAAAATAAACAACAGGCCATCTGCAACAATAAGATATTATGGACATGAATAAAATGTATTATATATTTATAAATGACATATTAGGGAATATTTATGAAATAAAATGCTTTTTTTCATTTTCCGTATTTTCACTGTAAAAATTTATTTTCTGTATTTTCACTGGTGCCTTACTGAACTACTTTCTTCTAATTTTAGCCAATACAGAATATTTAAGGGGATTGCTTTCAAAATTTAATGTCAAGAAAGAGAAAAATGTATATAATAAACAGAAAATTCATGTCTTTTCTATATAATACAGGATTCATTTTCAAAATTTCATTGTGGTCTATGAAAATTATCATTTTTCACTATTGGCTACCTCCACTCATTAAATATTTATTTTCATATTACTTGATGAAAATAAATCCTGTATTTGTAGAAAAAAACTTAAATATACTCTTATATTTTACAGGTTATCTTTTACAGGTTAATTACTTTTTCTGAATGTTTTTTTCTTAATGATATCTCCTTTGACATAAAACATTTAATGTGTAAAAAAAGATATGATTTCTAATGTAAAGATTCAGTTAACAAAATTTGATTATTTGCTAAGATACCTTTGAGATTTCTTAATTTAAGGACAATCATAAATGATATCATTAAAGTGAATTAAGTTCAAACTTTGTAATTGGAAAATAATTGTACTTTACCTGAAGCCAGTGAATCCATGGAATACAAATTGTAAAATGTGTGTTGCCATTTGAATTTTTTTCTTCCCATCAGAAATAATTTTTATATTGTTATTTGTCTCCCCCATGTTCATCATTCCAACAATATCCCAGCTGTCTCCATTTTTACATATAATGAGATCATCTTGAATAGCCATTTCATCTAACAATATTCCACCATGCATGCCAAATTCTGAGACCTTTGTTCTGACAGCTTCATTCTGCATCCATTCCAAATTATCATTGTTAAATCCAGGCTTTTGTTTAAATGAATTTTTATAATATTGAAGGGTCCTTCTTGATGGTAATACTAAAAGTCCTGATTCCTTTAAATGGTTATAGGCTGATGGGGATCTTATCAGAATGCCTAGGCAAACCCTTATAATTGTTGGGTCCCAGCGTCTCTGACGAGCATCAATGCTATTTTTGATGTTTCTCACCTGGGATTCTAACAGTATTTTAAAGTCACCAGCTGAATCATCTTCCAAAATTTTATGCAACAGTATCTCCATGTCAGTGTGAGACTCTTGAGTTAACATTATGTAGCTAGACTCTGATTTTGATTCTAAATTGTCTTCATTACATGTATTTGATATTGGTAGTTCTTTATTAATTAAACTTTTTTTTTTCAATTTGTTGATCTTCATTTGAAGTGTTTGATGTTTGTCTTTTAGTGAATCTATTAAAGGAATCTAAACAGGTTTTGCAAGTTTCAGTTTTGCCAAAGTATGGGAGAAGATTTTTACATGACTTTGAACGAGCTATCCTTTTTGAAGAGTTTTCATCGTTTACAGTTGATATGATTTCAGTTTGGAATGTTTTTGGAACTCCTCCATCATAACATACACCACTGCAGAGTCTTATATTTTGTAAGCCTATGATAATACCATCAATACTGTTTTGATTAAGAGTAAGCACATATTCAAGGGATATTGGTTGCTTTTCAACACAAATTTTTATATGAGAGCTGGTTAATATTACAGTTGTTTTCATCTGCTTGCCATTGATTTTTCTGTACATAGGCAGTTCAAATTTTAATATTGTATTTGTTCTATTAAACTACAGTTTGATGGTATGGTAAGAATGTTACTTTCTGGCTCTTTCCGTGGTCGTATATTCTTATACACAATAGTCTTTTCTCCATTATGGTTCAATATAGATGGTTTTACACCAAACAAACGGCTCACCACTTTTCCTACAACATCCTTGCTGGGAATGCATGAAAGACTTTTGCACGTTTCAGAAATTTCACCAATTACTGTTGTGCTTCCTTGATGTACTTCAAAATATACCCCAAGCCTGTAAAGAATTAAATATAATTATTTGCAATTATTAACCCTTACTTTTTATATGCCCGAAAGGGCATATGATGTTATACCCCCTGGCGTCCGTCTGTCCGTCCGTCCGTACGTCCGTCCGTCCGTTAGCAATTTGGTTTCCGGAGAATAACTTAAGTTCCATTTGGCCCACAATGTTAAAACTTCATAGGATGATTGTCCATATTGGGTAGAAGACCCCTATTGATTTTGGGGTCAAAAGGTCAAAGGTCAAGGTCACTATTACCTTAAAACTGAAAACGGTTTCCAGAGCATAACTTAAGTTCCATTCGACCCAAAATGTTCAAACTTCATAGGATGATTGTCCATATTGGGAAGAAGACCCCTATTGATTTTGGGGTCACAAGGTCAAAGGTCAAGGTCACTATGACCTTGATACTGAAAACAGTTTCCGGAGCATAACTTAAGTTCCAATCTGCCCACAATGTTAAAACTTCATAGGATGATTGTCCATATTTGGTAGAAGACCCCTATTGATTTTGGGGTCAAAGGTCAAGGTCACTATTACCTTATAACTGAAAACAGTTTCCAGAGCATAACTTAAGTTCCATTCGACCCACAATGTTCAAACTTCATAGGATGATTGTCCATATTGGGTAGAAGACCCCTATTGATTTTGGGGTCACAAGGTCAAAGGTGAAGGTCACTATTACATTGATACTGAAAAAATATGTTTCCACGCATAACTTAAGTTCCATTTGACCCACAATGTTCATACTTCATAGGATGATTGTCCATATTGGGTAGAAGACCCCTGTTGATTTTGGGGTCAAAAGGTCAAAGGTGAAGGTCACTATTACCTTGATACTGAAAACAGTTGCCGGAGCATATGTTAAGTTCCATTTGGCCCACAATGTTCAAACTTCATAGGATGATTGTCCATATTGGGTAGAAGACCCCTATTGATTTTGGGGTCAAAAAGTCAACGGTTAAGGTCATCCTTACTACGAAAAAAAAATACTTTCGGGCATATAATGCTCCGCCTAGCGGTGCTCTTGTTTCGCAATGTTATTTTCCCAGAGGCCTCTGGGAGTTATCTTTACATCTAATGCAAGTGTACAGCGTGACAAAGAATTTTGTACCGTTACAAAGGTAACAGTATTTTATAATAGTATAAAAACTGCTTGTCACGTGGTCTATTTTCTAAATAAAATGAAATGAAATGGCCGCCATTTTTTTTCGATTCATTCTTATTTTCGACGTTAAAATCCGATATGACATCAATTTTTTCTTTGGAGTACTATCACACCCAAAAAATTTAGTTGTTTACACCCTGGTGTGCTTTTCGCGTATGAAAAATCATTTTGTTGAATAATCAAGAAGTAAACATCCGTTTTCAACGGAAGTAATTGCAATGTAAATAATTATATGTCAAACTGGAACATGCAGACGATTTAAGCATGCAACAAAGGATAATTTAACAATTATAATCAATGAACCGTTACAGATATGGTGGACAGCCATAGGATATCATCGTTATTTTGTCAAAAACCATGCGAAGAATATTCTGGAAACAAATGTATAAATGGGTTAGTGTTTTGTTTTCAAATAAAACCTAGCTTATTGTATGTTTATGACTTGTAGATATCATCACTTGCTTAAAAAGTAATAAAAAAGGAAAACATCTCAAGTAAGCCTAATGTACAGTTAAAACTGAAAAGGTAAGGACAGTTGAGCTCTTGTTACTCTTATTTTATTTTTGTTACAGTTAGATTTAGTTGACAATTTCTGATCATCACAGTTTTTTTGTTCGGGGTAATAAAATAAATAACATATGGGTCTGTAACAGTAAAAATATCATCTCTCGTAAAAATACTGTTACCCTCGGCGTACTACGCCTCGGGTAACAGTATTTACATCGGGATGGTATTGTTACTGTTACCCACAAACCCATGTGTAATTTATATATTGTTTCATCTAAATTTTCTAAGAAGGTAGAATCCTGTTATATATGAACCCAACATTTTCATGATTGCTTAAAAATATGCTTTCATACAAAGATATATGTAGTAACAAGATAAAAAAAAACAGAAATTGCAAATATCATATATACTCTATTAGATGCTCCTTTAGGATGGGGTTATATTGTTAAAGGTAGGTGTTTAAGTACAAAAAGGTGAATATCTTTCAAAATATTTAGCGCTAAAATCTGTTCCCAGTCAGTATGTAATTACGACAGTCTAGGACACTGGCATAGTGTGATGATAAAATTCATTCATTATGATTGTTGCAATGAAATTACCTATAATAAGTTATCATATTTTCTGTTTTTGTCTCTTCTGTTGGATTATATATACTGGAAGTACCAGTTGTGTTTATTCTGTTTATTTCCTGGGATTTATGAACAATACAATGGTTTTGGTTAGGCAATCTCCTTTTACATTTATTTAAAAAGGGAGTGGGTTGTTTATTAGGGGTTGGTGTTATTAAGAGAATATAGTTATAGAGTTTTTCATAGACATGGCATCTTTATTTCAAATTGGGTGATTCAGTTGGTTATTTCAGGAAATATGTATTTTATCATGCTATTAACATTAAGAGATCAAAATCATCTCTTATTTGAATAGTTTAGACTTTCCCCTATCTTTTCAGACAAATAATAAGGCAACTTTCTCAGTTGAAAAGAACAGTTGCTGTTACTGGTACCACAGGTATGGTTGCATTGGCGCTAGGTATGAACACATCCACTCTGCATCATTGGCATTCTGGATGGCCGATATTCTGTAGAAAAATAAGAGAAGACCTATCAGAATGATGAAAAATACTCTGCTGCTAAGCAGAGAATATTAGAAGCTGACTGCCTTATCATTGACGAGATAAGAATGTTGACACAAAAAATATTTGAACTGGTTGAATGTGTTTGTCGCTTTGTCAGAAAGATCAATGCTTTTGAGGTGTGTAGGTATTATTTTTCTGAGTTTTTGGCTTGCAGCCATCATTTGTTTTGAATAACTTGTTCCGGTAAGGTGGTTTCCTGTTTCCAATTGTTAGTGCATGATTGAACGGGAAACAAGCTGCAATCGTGCCAATCGCAACTTTTCGGCCTTTTCCGTCCCTCTTCGGATTAATGATAAAAGCCGATGTAGTTCCGATTGCAATCGTGACAATTCGGGCGATTCCGTCATACTGCGGAATCAGACGAAGTAATATTACGGTAATCTAAGCTATTTTAGTTACTTCTGTTATCCCAGTTTGTTTATATAAATAGGATTTCTATATCGGTTTAAACCGTAATAAATTATAAACGAAATTGTTCCGTTTCAATTGTTTTTCAAGGCGCAAAAGTTAGTTTCTTTTATTATTGTTTTTTGTCTGTATTAGTTTTATACAATAGAGAATGGTGGCTGTAGTAGTATTCCATTTTCAAAGGGTGGTCCTGCTTGCCAAATCACGCATGATCGAGTTATATTTAGGTCTACTGTCAGAACGCAATTCAACTTCTTGGTGGGGTAATATAAAAATATACCCATGCATATCATTTACCTTGCCACGTGCTGATCTACAGATAGCGCATCGTATTTGTTATCGTGTAACATAGTTGATACATGCTTATTAATTTGTACCACGTAACGAAGTATGTTAGTGCATTTAATTGCCTATAAAGCAAACGAATGATTTCCCTGCGAAAAAAGGGGAAATGAAATTGTGCACACTTGTTTCCCTTCAGTTTTATAAATAGATCTCCACGTTAGTATTTTTACGACTTATCATTTTCTTTATTAGTTTTATACATTAGAGAATAGATGTCAAATCGTTTTGACAAAAAATATTCGCTTTTCCAAAAAACAACAAAAACAAACAACTAAATTAACCCTTTATGATATACAAATACCGTAATTCAAAAACATTGTCATAATAAATTGAAACAAACATTTTTTAAAGGGTTGGGATGAAGGCACAACTGTGAAACCTTTCCTTTTAAAAGGAAACTTTATTTTATTTTCATTTTGAAATTAAAGAATTTCAGCTATAATAAATATAAATATGACTCGGGGTACAATTATATTTTACAAGAAATATTGCCTTTATTCTTATGATTAATGGTCATAAAGTAAAGCCTTAACTAATAGTTAATAACATGCAACTAAAATATGATAAACAAGATCAACAAGGAAAGGCGGTGTTCAGTGCAAGCAACCCCCTTTAGGGATTCTGTATTTATCTATTTTATTGATTCTTTGCTATTAAGGAGATGTCAGACTTAAATTAGTAATAGATTTCAATCTCTGACACCGAATATATCTAGAAGCTATAAGAAATGATTCGCTGTCTCAGAAAGCAATCCATACTCATTCAAATAATACAAAAACTGGAAACAAAGTGATTCTTCGGCAGAGCTGCATCAGTACTAAGGGTGTAATACTTAAGTACCAGTACCAGTACTTGGCAAATTATGCAGTACCATTACCAGGACCAGTACTATTTTTGGTGAAGTAATTAAGTATTAGTACCATTACTTTTATATATTCATCAAAGTCTAAATAAATACATACTGTCAAACAAATAATTTCAAATATTATTCAGCAAAGAAATAAAATCATAATTTACTTTAAAGTTAAAATAACATTTTTACAACTTTATAGTTTTAACATCCTTTTTTACA